CAGACAAACCTTCAATGGATAGAGGCAGAAATATGTGAATATTCTAGAAAGAAGCCCACCAGCCAAGAGTCTGCAGTGGGCTGTAGGCATTGCACAGGGAATATAGAGTGTTGTTTCTCATCATTACAATATTCATGTTGTGTGGGAGTAATTTATTTTCAGCCAAACACATCATAATTCCGTTTTAATTCATGGTGTTCATTTGAATTTTGTTGGTTTTGAAATCTGGTTTGTATTTAATTTGCAGCTACATTAGTTAGAGAAGAGTTATGAGCATAAGTTGGTTTAATTTGTCTATGTTTAAGTGGGATTCTAATAAAAAGAATTGAAATTAGCATCAGGGAGAGGGGGAGTGGTTTTTAAAATTTTACCTAGGGGTTTATATATTATTCAAACACATATACATAAGCATACATGAACTAGGAAAGAACTGGTGAGAACTAATGTAGAAGTAACATACACCCATTCTCAACATACTCCTGTATTTACATTTTCTGTTCCACTCCTATCTTTCACCTTCTGGCTCCCTTGCTCAAATGAACACTCGGTCTTATCAGGGCTTTAAGCTCTAAGTACTGGGGAGAAATAGTGTTAAGTATTTTTGCAAGAAACTTTAGAAATAAACCAATCCCAAAGTCTTGCTCAGTAAAGGGAGAAGCCTAAACAGTTCATACATCTCATGTAGTCACTGACAGCTCCAGAACCAAGCCTTTTCCACTCCAGTGCTCTTTTCCACCAACATTGCATTTTTCTGGTATCTATTTATAGAAATAACTGTTGAGAATCATTAAATTATGTTAAAAATGAATCTAATATCAATCCACCCTAAAAATTCCTGCAAAAGCTAAATTGATATATGTCCTTGAAAGAAGGATGAGATAGAAAGTAAAAGACAGGCAATGTATCCGCTAACAAAATCCTTTCATTGCCAATTAATAGAAATGAATGTTAGCACTTGCCTTGGATCCTAAAGTCTTTTCATTACAGGATGATTTTTAGATCAAATGTTCATGTTCGCATTAGGAGCAAAACCAATAAAGAGATACTGAAATTTAGTTTTATGTAGGATAATTTTGGAAGCACTATTGTTATTTGTAGTTTAAATGCATTTTTTTGAGTAACTTGGGCTCTGAAGCAGGAGGACCGCAACTTGCTAGGCCCTAAGCAACCTAGCAAGACACTCTCAAATTTTAAAACTTGAAAAAAAGTGGGGGCTGGGGTGGTGGATCAGTGGTAGAGCACTTGCCTAGCATGTGTGAGGCCCTGGGTTCAATTCTCAGCACCATATATAATAAATAAAATGAATGTCTATTGACAACTAAAAATATATATTAAAAGAAAAAAATATTTTAAAAATGGGAAGACACTAGGGATGTAACTCAGTGGTAAAGTGCTCTGGGGTTTAATCCTCAGTACAAAAAAAAGTTTTTGACTAACTTTTAGTTAGCTTCCCTCTCCCCAGTATAATGCATTCTCTACGATGTTTCCAGATTTATATGCTTTTAAAAGGTTTATTACAATTACCTTCCAAAACATAAACCTAATTCCATTCTTCTCTTCCGCACACACTGTTCATTTGGAAATGAACTGCCTCTGTCTCAGTGTCCCCTTTAGATAATTTGTGTCATAATCAGGCTGATGGAGGCCACCATCAGAGATTCTGTTCTGTAGGTCTGTGTTGGGATCTAAAACTCTGTATTTGTAGAAAATACAAGTTATTATTTCACGTACTTCAATTATTAAACTACTGATCTCTGAAATTATTTCCGGCATGGAAGCAAGGATGTCAGTGGTCAGATAATATCGGACTTATAACGAGAAGTACAGCCAGAGACTAAATCTTGAGAGTCAGTCTGAGGGAGGCCATGCTTAGGAAAGTTACTTTCCTAAAAATGGCCTTTGCTATTATTTGGAAGGGAAGTGAGTATAAAAATGGTGTCATCTATGTTAGTCCATTGCCTGATGCTATAATAAAATGCCTGAGACCGAGATACTTGATAAAGAGTTTTATTTAGCTCACAGTTTTAGAGAACAAAAGTCCAGGATCAGGCAGCCCCATTGGTTTGGCTTCATGGCAGCTGGCATTACAACAGTGAGAATGTGTGCAGAGGATATCACATGGTGAGAAATGTGAAATATCTGATATTAGGAAATCAGAATGATTCAGGGTCCAGGCTCACTCTTTTTATAACAATCTACTCTTGGGGGAAATAACTTATTCCACGAATGAGCATTAATACCTTCTAAGAGGAGTGCCCCCAGTTACCTCATTACTTCCCAGTAGCCACTTTTAAATTCACAGAAAAAAAATGAGTAGAACATAAATAGATTTCTCATATACCCCTTCCCCACACACCTCATATACCCTCCCTATTATCAACATCCCAATAATCTATTACAATTAGTTAAGCCACATTGACACATCATGATCACTCAAAGTACATAGCTTACGATAGAGTTTACTCCTGGTGGTATAAGTTTTATGGGTTTAGATAATTTATAACGACAGGTGTCTATCACTATAGTTACAATACAGAGAAGTTACTTTCCTAAAACTCCTCCTGCACCCCACCTATTAACCCCTTCCTCCTCCCTAACCCTGGCAATCACCGATCATTTTATTATTTCCATAGTTTTTGTTTTTTCTATAACATTATGTGGTTGGAATCATATAGTATATCCTTTTTCTACTGACTTATTTCACTTAGTAATATGCATTTAAGTTTCCTTCATGTCTTTTCATGACTTGATATGATAGCACATTTCTTTTTAGTGTTGAAAATTACATGTCTGGCTGTACCACAATGTATTTATCCATTTAACTACTAGGGGACATCTTGGTTGCTTCTAAGTTTTGGCACTTCTGAATAAAGCTGCTATAAACATCCATGTGCAGGTTTTGTGAGGACATATTTTTATCTCCTTTGGGTAAATAGCAAGGAGGACTACGATGGCTTGCCATATGGTAAGAGTATGTTCAGTGTGAAGAGACTAGTGTCAGTAGGTGGCTGTACCATTTTCATCTCCACCAGCCATGAGTTCCTGTTGCTACACATCCTCATCAGCATTTGGTGTTGTCAGTGTTCTGGATTGGGGCCATTCAAATAGGTGTGGAGTGTATCTCTTTGTTCTACTTTGCAATTCCCTGATGACAGATGATGCTTATTTGTCATCTATATATCTCCTTTGGTGAAGTGGTTGTTAAGATTTTTGGACCATTTTAAAATCAAGTTGTTTGTTTCCGTACTGTTGAGTTTTCAGAGTTCTTTGTGTATTTTGGATAATAGTTCTTTATCATTTGTTTTTTTTTTATAGTGATTTTCTCCTACTCTCCTAATCTCCCAGCCTGTGGCTTCTATCTTTATTCTCTTGACACTGTCTTTTGCAATGCAAAACATTTTAATTTCAGTGAGGTCCTATTTAGCAATTCTTTCTTTCTGCTGTAGGTATTGTTTATGTCTTCCCTTATTAAGCTTTTTCATTTCATTCTTTTTCTCTTTTCTGCTTTTTATTCTTTATTCTGTCTTTATACATGTTCTCTATTTATCACTTCCACCTGTTTTACTGTTGAAGAAACTAGAACTTCTACTCATATCTTAAGTGATTAATATTAAGCATTTAACATGATCTAAAAGTTACAAATACAAATTGGGGGATCTTTTTTATTCTCAATATAGTAAGGACTTTAGTCCCCTTCTCCCATCAAGTTATTTTTCTTTAAAGTTTTGAATTTATCTTTTTAAAAACACACAAAGGCTCTCTTTTAAAATAATCCATAGTTAATTCAGTTTAGCAAAATAATTTACTAATGTTTCATATTGTCACTGTTTATCGATCCCATTACTTTCTTCACTGTTCATTTTCTTTTTTGTTAATACACATCATTAATAGTTTTTGTGGTGAGTGTTGGTGAATGGTAATCCTTTTAATCTTTAAACTAGTGCCATTAGTTCTTTCTTTGGAATAACAGTTTAGCAAGGAATTATTCCTATTACTATTCTTTTAAGTTACTTCCTTCAAAACTTTGCAGACAAAGTACCTATGGTACCTCTTGGCACCTATGGTGGCTGATGAGAAGTTTGTTATTTCTTTACATGTAATTTGTTCTGAGCCTCTGTTAGGTTTTAAGAATTGCTTTTCATTCTTAATATTCTATTGTGGATGCTTTATTTTTCTTGCCTCTGGAGTGTGCTTGAACTTCCATCAGATATGGAGGACCTGGCTATTCAACCTATTTTTTACATTTCATAAGTACTTTTTCCAGTATTATCATTCTTATTTTTCTTAACTCTATCTCTGTGAGTGACATTCTTGGTGAATTACTGAGAATTCTTCCAACTAATTTCATCTTCATTCACGTCCAGACTACCATTTAGATCATCATCTGCATTAGTTCAATTTTTCACACGTATTCTTTTTCTATTGCTGTGTAAAAAATTACTACAAATGAATAGTCTATTTCAATGCACATTTATTATTACAGTTTTGGAGTATTAGGAGCATAGCTTACCTGATTAGGTCAGGCCCTCTAAGGATAATTTCCCTTAGGTTTAATCCATAGTCAATTGGTTTGGGGCCTTAATTACATCTATATTGTCCTTTCACTGCTTCCATATAATGCGATCTAATCACAAGCATGGTGTCTTATTATAGTCACAGTTCCTGCCCACACTCAAAGGGTAGGGATTATATTGGTCATATATACCAGGGGTGGGAACCTTAGTGATTATCAAAAATTGTGACTACCATGTTTTGCTTCAATTTTCCCCCCAATAATATATATATATATATATATATATATATATATATATATCACATACACATATATATGTATATATAACTTTTGAAATAAATGTGAGATATGTACCTATCATATGGTGTCATGATATATGTATCATGATATATATCATGACACTATAATTAAAGTATATGACATATGTATAAATATATAGAATTACATTAAGATTTTAAAAAGATTAACCTTTTTATCATTCCTCCAGGTTTCATTGCAAACAAAACTCCTATGATATTTGTATGCCATGCCGGGACTCATGCTTTCATTTTTCTTGCATAAATTCTTATGAGTGGGTTGGCTGTAGTGTACGGTAAGTGTGTGTTTAACTTTTTAAAAACTGTCAAATTGTTTTCTAAAGTTGTATCATTTACATTCCAACCAACATTGCATGAGCATACTAATTGCTCTGTATCTATGCCAGTACTAAGCATGGTCAATCGTTTTAAGTTTTGCCATTGTGATATTGTATGTAGTGCTTTTAATTTGCAGTTCCTTAAGACTAATGATTTTGAGCATCTCCTTATGTTCTTTTTTGTTGTCTGTATATCATCCTTCCTTGGCAAAAAGTCAGTTAAAATCGGTTGCCTTGTTGTTTATGAGAATTGTGTTTGTTGTTTATTCAAATTTATTTAGTTTTAAGAGTTCCTCATAATATGGTGTCACAACTTTTTGGCTTCTCCGTTTCTCTTCCCTTATTCTGGGATTCCCATTACACAGATGTTAGTCTGCTTCATGCTGTTTCCTAGTTTAACTTACTTTTTCCAGCATTTCCCCCTGGTTTCATTTTGTGTCCTCAAGTTCACTCACTGGTTTTTTAGTTTCTAGTCTGTAGGTGATTCTACTTACTGGAATTTTCCCAGCTCAGATATCATAATTTTTCTCTCTAGAATTTGGATTTGGGTTTTTGGTATATTTTTTCTTTGTTTCCTTATCATGTTTAAGTTTTTCTCCAGTTTTGTGAACACATGGAGTAGAATTATAGTAGGTTTTTAAACATTTTGTCTACTGGTACTGTCATCTCTTTTTATTTTAATATTTATTTTTTAGTTGTAGTTGGACTCAATACCTTTCTTTTATTTGATTATTTTTATGTGGTGCTGAGGATTGAACCCAAGATCTTACATGTGAAAGGCGAGAGCTCTACCACTGAGCCCCAGGCCCAGCCCCTTGGTGTCATTTCTAAGTCTGTTTCTTTAAAGAAATGGTGTTCTTCTTCTTCTTCTTCTTCTTCTTCTTCTTCTTCTTCTTCTTCTTCTTCTTCTTCTTCTTCTTCTTCTTCTTCTTCTTCTTCTTGTGATGAGCCATATTTTCCTGCTTCTTTGGATTAGTTTTTTGGGTATGGAAGGTTTGGTTTAATACATTTTGGATTTACCTTGTTCAATAAGAGATTCCTATATTTCTTAATCCATGTTGACCTTTGCTCTGAGATGTAGTTAATTTCTTTAAAAACAGTTTGATCTTGTTGGTCTGGGATGCAGTTAATTTCTTAAAAAATGTTTGTTCTTTTTAGGCTTGACTTAGACCTTTGGTAGGCAGACCAGGACAGCCATTATTGTAGGGATATTGTTGCCCCTCTAAGAGGGAGTAGCCTTCTGTGGATCCTCCTCTGTGCCCACAGGTCAGGAGCTCTTTACACCTTTACTATCCCTAGCCTTCAGTGAGATCTAAGGATTGTTCTGCTTGCTTCTGTTTGCCTCCACCATTTCTTCACTCACAAGACTCAGCTAAAGTATTCAGGGGATCGCTCTGGGCTTACTCTCTGCATAGCTCTATCCTTTCCCTTCTCTGCCCCATGAATAACAGCTGCCTTGGCCTCTGCTGATTCTTAACTCAGGGGACAGCCAGGCTTTGCTTGGGCTTTCCCTCCCTGCTCTGCCACTGGAAACTCTCACCTGCTGTAAGCTAGGGCAATCATAGGGATCACTTTGTATTTTATCTCTGAGATTGCTGTTCTGTATTTTGTTGAATGTTCCTCATTTTGGCTTGTCTGATGTTTTCCTTATAGTTACTCTGAGACTGTGCATTTGGGGGAGGTGCTGGTTAGCCTTTTGTCACTGTGCCCAAAATACCCAATGAGAACAACTTAAAGGAGGAAAATTTTAATTTGGCCCATGGCTTCAGAGGTTCGGTTCATGGTAGGCCATCTTCGTGGCTCTGAGCCCAAGGCAAGGCAGGACATCATGGCACAAGGGCATGGCAGAAGAACACTGCTCATTTCATGGTGAAGAAGCAGGGAGCTGGGAAGGGGCCATAGAGAAGATGACCCCTTCCAGGGCATGCCCCCAGTGACCCACCTCCTCCTGCCATGCCCCACCAGCCTACAGTTACTAGTCCATTCACACTAGGATGGAGCTGAGTACAGCGCTCATAATCCAATCATTTCACCTCCTAACATTCCTGTATTAACACAGGAGATTTGGGGGGACAGCTCATATCCAAACCACAATGGGGGAGGAAGACCACAGAGGTGAAATGCCATTCTCATCACATAGTATCAAGGACACAGGTTACCATCACAGCTCATCACTGATAATGATAACCTGGTGAGGGGATGCTGGCCAGGTTTCCCCACTGTGGTTACATTCCTCTCAATGTTTGTACATAGTACACTTTGGAACCGAGTCACCAAGCACAATCAACACACAAAGGACAGGGAAAGAAGCTCTAATCCTTTGAAGGTGGAGAGTCCACATATTATTTGAAAATTTTTTATATAGATTTGTTTATTCTCAGTTTTTATTCACTTATTACTCAATGATTTATTGATATGAATATGGACTCATGGGTATTTATTATGTTCTGTGGATTATGACCCAACACTCAAATTTCTCTAGCTTTGTCCATTGCAAACTTTTTCAGGACAGCTTCCATGTGTCTTTGACATGCTGCATCTTTTGATAACTTACTTACTGTGTTAGTACTTCCTTACTTTTTGGAAGTATAACATGTTCCAGGCTTATGTTGTCTATTCTCTGTTCCATCCCTAGAATCAATCATTTCTCCAAGGAACTATGGTTCCCTTATTCAGTAGCAATGTTAGACAGCAAGATCTGGGTCCTGGAAGTCCATCAGCTCTTTAAAAGCAAATTTATTGAATTATGGGATCCTACATAAAAATTCATAATGACTTCCTGTGGTTATACAAATTTTAATGTATAATGATGATCACCATTAGAATATCTAAAGTGGCATTATGAAAAGAAATATTTTAAAGTAATGAGATTAAGCAATTGAGGATATATGCACTTAATTATAAATTAATTCAATAATAGGGTTGCTTCCCAAATATCTGATAATCAATTTTAATTAGTTGCATAGCTGATTTTGAAATAAAAACTAGACTTTTAAAGTAAATGATACTTAAACATTAACTGATTTTAATTGAAAATAATAAAGTATTTGAGTTTTATAGTTACATTAAATGAGAGTCATTATAGAACAGGGTATTTTTAAGTTAAGAATGATTGATTTGAAACCCCAAATTAACTTCTGTTCTCATTAAATAATGTGCTTCAAACCTGTTTTGCTTTTATCATTTTTTTTTTTTTTTTTTTGGTACCAGGGATTGAACTCAAGGGCACTCAACCACTTGAGCCACCTTCCCAGCCCTATTTTCTATTTTATTTAGAGACAGGGTCTCACTGAGTTGCTTAGTGCCTCGCCATTGCTGAGGCTGGCTTCCAGCCTCACGATCCTATTGTCTCAGGCTCCCAAGCCGCTGGGATTACAGGCATGCACCACCACACCAGGCTTCTTTTACCATTTTTTCATATCTTGTTCTACATCCTTTGGTGCTATCTATGGTCACAAGCCTCCTTTATACTTTTGATACATTAATAATTAGTTCTAGCCCCACACTAGGCCAGTGCCCTGACTGTCCAAATTCCACAAGGAAGATACAAATAGAGAACTTATCAGGAAATCCAAAGCAGAAAGGGAACATTGGCTAATATTGCCCAGCATCTGGTACAATTTATCTCTAAAAAAGAGATGTGTTTGAATATGTTTATCCTCACTCAGATTTCTTTAGCATGGCCTCACTTTCAGACATTGTTTTTGTCCCCACTAAGTGCCTTGATATCCTGGTCAGTCACTTCTCCCCATTCTCTCTTTTGATGCTTCAGAACCATTAGTATTGGTCTTCGTTTTCAGCCCTTTACTAGAGTTCAGTCTGACTGTACTTAATATATCTTCTTTTATTGCACTGGGTTCTTTGGTTATTTGTCAAGTTTTCCTAACAAGTGAAGTTACTTGAAGCTTGTAATTTATAAAATTCACCTTTTTATCAACCCCAGTTCTTAGTATTCTTAGTCTTCTATTAGCTGTACTATTACTTCTAATAATTACTGGATACTTATTGAACATAACTGATATTCAAATAGATGACAGTGATATGTTGCTCACTGATTAGGGCAAAAGTAAATATTAAATTCAATATTTGAGTTAGAAATCATGGTTCTTATTATTGTAATAGTTCCATGTTTTTTTGTTTATTTATTTATTTTTTTACTTTAAGGTGTCTAAGGCATCTTTTACTTTCTGAAATTAAATATTGATTTAAAATATTTTCATTTTTTGACTTGTGTATTATTTTTTCAGGACTGCATAACAAAGCCCAAAACTCGGCAATTTAAAACAACAGAAATAAGATTCTCTCACCATTCTGGAGGCTGAAACCAAGGTGCCGGTAAGGCAATGTTTCCAGAATCTGTGCATGCCTGTCTTAGTTTCTGGTGGTGGCTGGCAACATTTGACTTCCTTGGCTTGAAACTACATCACCCAGTCCCTGCCTCTGAGGTCACGTGGCTTTATTTCCTGTGTGTATCTGAGTCTCTCTGCATCCTCTCCTCCTCTCACAAGGACACAAGTCAGATTGGATTTAGAACTAATTTGATATGACTTCATCTTAACTAACTACTTCTGCAAAGATCCCATATTTCATGCAAGGTCACATTCTCAGTTGCTGAATGGACAAGAGTTTTGCTGTGACACTATTCATCAAGTAAGGACCTCTATTGCCACTTCTCTTTTTTCCCTTCTGCTTATCTATCTCCTTTTCTTTTTACAACTTTAATCAGTGGCAAGATAAGCAAGGAACTGGTTGCATTCTTATTTGCTCTTGATGACCTTTTATAAATCATGCCTTGTTACATTTTTTTTCAGCACTCAGAAGATGTAAAATCATCAATAACTCATGGCAATACATTATTTATTTTAAACATGCTTATTAGTCAAGCTTCATGTCTTTTTTTTGGGCTTTTAGCTTGTCTTCTTTAATTATCCTGCTTTTTGTGCTTGCTTGAATTTTAAAGATCAGTCAATGCATTTTTCATGACTTTAAATACATTTTTTGTTTCATTTTCAAGAAGATTTTTTAAGATGGAAAATGCCTCTATCAACCTATTCTTTTCTCATCTTTAAAACAACTGGAAATCCTACTTGTTTTAATTTTTGATGCAGACACTTATGGTCACCTAACAAAGAGCTGGCTTTGAACAACAGAGTCCAGTGAGAGAAATGTGAGATGTACACAATATATCATCAAAATGACAATGCTATTCCTGTATCAAGGTGAAGAATGAGTCTGTTACTAATATTCAATATTCCCTTATTTGTCTCTAATATTCCAGGCTAAAAATAGACATCCGAGTCTCTCCAGGTAAACCAAATGAACTATTTGTGTAAACTTTTAAAGAAGTAGACAAGACCAATGTGAGCAATGGACTGGCAGGGAGTTAGTTAGGACAGATGTGGTTGAAGCTATTGGCACAGTGCCACACTCAAGAGTGACAACACAGAGGACCAGCTGTGCAAGGACCCAGAAAGCGTGTCCCCCAACCATACCCACCAGGAAAAGGAAGTCTAGAAGAACTACTCCCTTCATCCCTTCCTCCTCCCTCACATCCTTGGACTGACAAACACCTTCTCATCTGAAGGCATCCTCATTAATTTTCCCCATCTGTATTGTATCAACTTGATAATGCTCGTCAGTTATCTATTGCTGCATAAAAAATCATCTCAAAGCTTCCTGGCTTAAAATAAAAATAAACGCATGATTTCACTATTCCTGTGGGCCAGGAATTCAGGAGCAGTTTAGCTGGCTGTTTTTGGCCCAGGGTCCTTCGTGAGATTCAGTTAGAATATTGGCTTGGAACTACAGTCATCTGAAAGCTTGACTAGACCTGGTGTCAATACTTCTAGGATGACTGATGCTGCTAGTACAATACAACTGAAACACGATGTCATGTTTCCAGCAGGTACAATACACAAAACCTTAGGAGGACAGACCACAGAAAAGATGCAGTAAAATAATCAGGAAGTCATGAATTTTAAGTATTTTCTTTTGTTTTAATATAATTTCATTTTAATTTTAATATAATTTTATTTAATTATGAGTGTGTAATTTAATTTCAAACAATGTCTGTCTTACAATCAGCTTGCCAAATTCCTAAAAATTCACCAATAAACTCAAATGGGCTGGTATGAGTTGCCTCCTACCCATCACTGCTCCTGCCACATTCCTTGACCTTAGGCTTAGCCATGTGACTTGCTGTGGGCAATGGGGATTAATAAACATGACACAGAGAAGTGCTTGCAGGTTATTCTTTATTTTTTTGCTCCTCTCTTTTAAATATGGAAACATTTCTGGGCTGGTCTGTTGAAGGATGAGACAGTGAAGCAGAACTGAGTGGTCCACTTGTCTCAGTCAAGTAGTAGTCCAGCAGAAGACCCTAGAAATGCAGAAGCCCAGCCAAGATCAGAGAGAGTCCAGCCAAGACTAGACGAACCAATCACATGACCCACAGATTCATGAGTTAAATAAACTCTTAGGCCCTGCCCCCTCCCCAACAAGTAATTATGTGAAGGAGGTAATCTCAGAGATTATCTTCTTGTGGTCACTATTGATAACCACTTCAGTTTGGGGATAGGAACACTTACATTCTTCAGTCTTTCAAGGCTTAGATACAGGGATTTTAGTCAAATCAGACTGCAAGTTAGAGAGTAAGCTTCCTTAGCATAGCCATGATTCCTTTCAACTCTACTTGTAGACTTAACCTAGCCTCAGTTTGTCTTTTTAAGAGTGGTCAAAAGGGAGACAGTGAACACTAATATTTTATATTTTTCTTACAATTTTTGCCAATCCTATGTTCCTATCATGTGTCTTCCAAGATATGGCACATGTGAAATTGTGATTCATTGTTTTGCCACCACACGATCATGACTAGCCTTCTAGTTTCTAATTACAAAGCCTGTACCCCCTACTGTTTGTCCCCATTAAGCCAATGCTGCATTTTTAGATTAATACTTAAATATGTAACTTCTGATCTTTTCTCTCACACACACACAGTGTATGTGCACAGCTTAGAAGTAGGGAGTTCAGAGCTAAAATTCTAGTTCCATATTTTCAGAATCCACCTCTCAAGGCCATCAGCCCTAGGGGTGGCTCCATACATGTTCTTGGGCCACTGGACTTGGGCAGAATTGAATCACCAGCTTTCCTGTTCTCCGGCTTGCAAACAGCAGGCCATAAGGGCCTTTGTAATAATGCTAGCCAGCTCCAATAATAAATCTCTCTTCTGTTTCTTGGGATAACCCTAATACTCTGTCCTAGGGACAAGATTCTCGTTATTTCGATGCCTGTGTCCTCTAATTGTAAACATTTCTCCCAACTCTTTCGTGGGGTGTATAGTCCAGGTAGAATCCTTATTCAGTTGTTGGATTCCCTTTCCCTACCCTTACCTTAGTTGACTTTTGGTTTGGATTGCATTTTATATGAACTAAGTTAAGGTTTACAAAAAAACTTTCAAGTATGTCTTTCAATGAGGAAAGGATTGACCCAAGGACCCAATGTATGATTTAGCTGATGCTATAAGGCAGAATTCTTTTTGATAGTTATTATTATTTTGATAGTTTTTCATGCTCTTCTAAAACAGGAAACATATAGGAAGAATCTGAGTCCAGTATTAATAAAGAGGACTGGGAGTATTTCTGGAAACAATGTATTTCTGTCTTAGCTCAAGGGAAATTCATACTGAGGCACTGACAGAAACTGTCCATAGTGTAATATAAACAATAAACAACAAAACAATGCAAAACAAAACCCACTTAAGTATGCCAGAAATTAAAGAGACTCCTTTAATCCTCAGCTGTTAAAAATTTATGCACCTTTTAGAATGGACTATTGTATAGACGATTTGTGTTAAATTTTTTTCTGAGAAAGTGATTACCAGGAAAAAACATAAATTTAATAATAAATATGCCTGTCAAGCTACCTTCATTTGCTCCTGTAGAATTTCTAGCACAGGAGATTTGATAGATGCCCAGTGTACCTGTTTTACATAAGTAAATGGTGAAGTATACACAGATCAAATAGAAACATAAGCCAGGTGATGGTGCAATTGGTTGTGTGCAATTGGTGGTTGAAATTGTACTTAAGCTCAGCAATCTGGTTTCTGCCTATTTTCCAATCCTTCCCCATTACTCTGCTCCAACTACAATGACCTATGTATTTGCAGTTACCTATACATACCATAGTCTCATAATTCTGGGTGTTTGTAAACACTATTCCTTTGCCTGTACCACCATTTTTTTCTCCTTCACCTCGTTCCTACTCATCCTTTGGATGACAGTTTTGCCGACTTTCCTAAGAAGCCACATCTGAACCCCAACACTCTTCCTATCTCCCTACTGCAGCATAATATATCATAGTGGCCTTTCTTTGCCCAGTAGTAAGCTACTAGAGTGAGGATGGTCTTGTTCATAGTTGTAGCCCCAACACTTAGCACAGTACATGATATTCAGCAGTTCAATGACTAATAAAGTAAACTGAATGCTACAATAACCATCCCAATCCCTTTCCAGAACTAATGATTTGGAAAGCAGAAAACAAATTTAAATCAGTTTTACAGATGACATAAAGTGGGATAATATAATCAAAATTCGAAAAAGCAAATATTCAAAAAGAATTCAACAGGCTGGAAACCAATGAGGTAAATTCTAGAGAGAAATGTAAAGTTCTGCATTTGTTCACACTGTTCAGTGGGTTTCAAAGTGTAGCCTAAACTACTGTTGGAAAAATATAATTAAAAACAAAACCTCTTGCCAACCCAAGAAAACCTTTATACAAAGACAGAAGAGAAAGTTTTTAAAAAATTGTTTTTTATTGAATAAGCATTAGACTAGAATGTTATACACATTACAAGCAATTCACTGATTTCCAAGACAGAAATCTCCCCCTTTTATATAGCTGAACAGATATAGTCGATTACATACTTCTCAAATGATATAGCTAGTTTCTAAGAGGACTCATTAGCACCATTTGTCACAAAGTTCATTCTAAATTCACTTGGTAATTTTGATGACCATCTGTGTTTGTTAATTGTTCAAGGGAAAAATAGATTTCTTGTGTCTTTATGACAGGAGGTAGAGTTGCAATTTGGAGCCAGGTGTCCTTCAAAGTTAGGCTTCTATCTGTCCAAGAAACCAGGAGCCAGGGGTACTTTTTCTTGTTTAAATTTCAACAGGATGGATACCAGGTTCTTGAGGAAGCATTCCTGGGTTGTAAAACTGGCAAGAGGCTAATTTAGCTTTCAGAAGGATTTACATACATTTCAAACAAATGCAGACTTTTTTTTTTTTTTTTTTAGAAGTTTTACACATACCTGTAATCCCAGCAACTCTGGAGACTAAAGTGGGAGGATCTTGAGTTCAAGGCCATCATAGGTTTAAAAGAAAAAAATTACTCTCAGTTGGGGGACATAGTTCACTGGTAGAGCATTTGTCTACTTGTAATGTCTAATGAGTTCAATTCTCAGAAGCACAGAAGAAAAAAATAAGGCTTAAAAGGAAGTGTGCCTGTGTGTGCACACCTGTTTGCTCATTGGTGGCAGGGCAAGGGTAGGGGAGATACATCTTTCTTTTTGCACTGGGGAGAATTAAGTAGTTTTCTTTTTCTTTTAAATATATTTAGTTATATACGGATGCAATATCTTTGTTGTTTATTTTTATGTGGTGCTGAGGATAGTACCCAGTGCCTCACAAATGCGAGGCAAGCGCTTTGCCACTGAGCCACAACCCCGGCCCTTAAGTATTTTCTTATTTCTAATTTATATTTATCCTTATGTGATTATCAGCATCACTAAGCAAATTTAGTTAGAGGTACAAATTCTCAGATACCAGTTGAGCAACTGGGGTTTTAGATAAGTTCCCACATGAAGCTAATGTTGCCTAAATATTGAGGAATTACTGGAAAGGACTGTTAGTAGCAGGCCATGTGAAAAGAAAAGACAAAGGATTTGGTATTTTGCCAAAGTGTATACTGTACAAACCACTCTCAATTTTGGTGTTTTAAAATTATATATTATTTCTTGGTAAAGCAACATCATTTGCAACGCTCTAGCTTCTTGTTTCATTTGTACAAAATTATCCTATTCAAATAATAAAGTTCATGCAAAATGGAAAAAAAAAAGGATTTAATTTTACTTGAATTAATGGTTATTTCTAGTTTGTGTAAGTAGTCATCTGCTCTGCCAGCATGTTACCTTCAATTAATTGTCAAGAAATTAAGGTATCTATAATAAAAATGTTATGAGCCTGTTTAGCCAACAGTCAAATCTCAATGACTTGCACAGAAAGGGAATAAAAACAATTTTTGAAAAATAAATGTGCTTGTTTAGCTTTAGAGTTAATTCTCTAATTTAATCTATTAAGAATTGCCTGAACATTACTTGATTAATAAACCAAGAAAAGCTAGAAAAATCAAAATCCAGAAAATTGTGCAGTTTTCTTAGATGGACTTCAGTTCACCTGGTTCTCTTATGGGGACCAAATCTTCTATCAGTTTCCCAATTTTGAATGTAAACTGGAAATCCCTGAAGATATGCTTAAAGACAAATTGCAGTGGAAACTGCAAGAATCAGGGCAGGGAGAGAAGAGAGTACTTCGGTGCATGAGTTCATGTGAGTAGTTGGGGAGTGAGTCCTGTTCCCTGTTAGCAGGGGCCAGAGCCTGCCACAACCTCATAGAAGGCAGCTTTGGAGACCCAGTTGAATTTTTAGGCATGGGGCCAAAAAGTTTGAGAAAAGTCTTAGTACCTCAAATTTGGTACATTCTTGAAAGCAGCCCTAAATAATGTTCATGGATTTGTCATTTTATGATCTACACAGTCTTATGGAAATGTCTTCTTGAATTCCTCATTAGAAATCTTATTACATTGAGCCTACCTTCTTCATCCATAGTCTATCAATCGAGGGCCATTTTGCAAGATTTGGTTAAAGACAAGATACAGTATAATTAATGCTATGGATTTTCCTCCCTAAAGGCTTTCAAGAAACCTTTTGCTTAAGAAGAGTAAACAAATCCCCCCCCCTTTTTTTTTTTTTTAACCTTCTTTGGCTTCATTAAAGGGAATCACAAAATTTCAAACCAAACTTTAAAGATCAAGTAATGTCTTTAATGAAGAGAAACTACAGCTCCAAATGTAAAATGATTTTTACTCAAAAATAGGGAGCTAATACTCTTCCATATAGCATAAGGGAATAAAACCAAGTGGACATAACTCAAAGACTCCACCATACATACCTATTATTATTAACATTATTTTGCTAGGAATCATACACAGCTTCTACAGAAATACAACAAAATTGCCCAAGATTGGTTTTCTTTCTAGCTTTCTAAGTTGTGTGCATTAAAAAAAAAAAGTGAACACAAAATAGTCATAAAACAAGAATCAAATATGCACAAGAAGCATTAACAAGACATTAGCCTATGCATGGGAGTTCTTTTTTTCCCTCAGAACACAAATGATGTTCCTGAAGACACAAATCTTGTTTAATCATTTTTGTTTCTTCTGTAAAACCAAGTACTGTCTTAGGCCTTACGCATTTGTTAAGATTATGTGTGTGTGTGTGTGTGTGTGTGTGTGTATGATATATATATATATATATATATATATATATAGAGAGAGAGAGAGAGAGAGAGAGAGAGAGAGAGAGAGAGAGAGTAGGGGACAGAGGGATACGTTTTTAAGTAAATACCAGTCCAGTGCCTGGATTTCTTGGACCAAAAGGCACCATCTGCAAGGCTTCTGTGAAATAAAATGTGTAAAAACTATATAGTTCCAGACATACATGTTAAAAATCGGTCACCAGGCACACTAACCCTTAGAAGTTGCCTCTTTGGCCTCAGCTATCCCAATCAGTGTGTGGACCCTTCTTGGCTGTTTTTCAAAGCGGTCAGAAGCAGTCTTCAGAGAGGACGACTTGAGTCTGGAATGTCTATTTAAATTCTTACAGATCAAATAACGTCTTTAATGAACAGCAAACCTGGGTTGTAGCTGGGTTGCTGGGAAATGCAAAGGCATTGGGGCTAGCCAGAACATTTGGCGCCCAAGTTTCAGACAAGGCCAGGATCCCAGAGCTACTTGTCAAACAAAGCCAAGCAGGCCCAGGTTCGTGGTGCGAGCAAGGCTAGCCCCGGGCCGCAGCTGTCCCTCCAACACGGGGAGTCCCGGCCGGACCGTTTCCTACCCATTGCGACCAAAGGCCCGCTTCAGCGCGTCCACAAAGCGCTCATACTGACCCAGGATGGGGCTCTCCCTCTCGATGTAGGGGACCACCCACTCCTCCGCCGGCCCAGAGAGGCGGCTGATTACAAATGCCACCTTTAGGGTGTCATTCGAAAATCTGGTTTCGAAGAAGTTCACGTACGATGCTGCTTGGATCAGAAAGTCGGGGAGCCGAGCGGGGTCGCCGTTAAACGTCTCAGGAAAAACCACCGGGCAGGTGGGCGGACGCACCTGGGCCAGCAGGTTGGCTTTCTCGCACAGCAGGCGCCGCACCTGGTCCATGAGCTCGTTGTTTTCCCTGCGCAGAGCATGGTTCTGGGTCAGCAGATCCTGCATCATGACTGCCAAAGCGTCCATCCCAGGAAAGCCTCGGTAGGCCTCACTCCCTGCCGGGCTCCGACCCCGCCGCGGCGTCGCCGGAAGTGAGTCCTCGGGGGGTGTGTCCTGCCGGCAGCACGGACCGCACTCCGCGGAATCAGAGGGCCTAGGCTTTAGGACGGCGAGGAAAGGTCTCCTGGGCTAGTGGAGGGGGAAGTGGGAATCGGGGACGCTGGAAGCGGCGCACGGGAGCAAGAGGAGGAAATCTGGGGAACCGGGGAACGAATCCTTTGGCCCTAGGGCCGCGCTCGGCGGAAGAATCTGACTGCGTGGCGGAGTACTCTTACTTCCGGCATTCTCCGGAAGCGGGGCGGGTCCGCAGATGCTTAAAGGGAAAGGCAGTCACACGGTGGAGTGAGGCTGCGGTTTCCCGCTTGCGCCCGGTGATATGTAGTAGTCATAATATTTATGGCATTCGTTCGTTGCTCTGAGGTTTTATTTGTTTTTCCCAAGGCCTCCCAGCAAAAGAGGGAAATTCCAGCGAAGCCCTCTGTGCTTACGTAGACTATTCCCAGGGCTCCCATTCTGACTGGGGGGACTCTAGAAAGATTGCGCAGAAGCACAAGGAGCTGCTGTCATTTACAGAGTGCCCCTTCCGTGCCCATCTCATTTAAACGTCCCGATTCTATGAAGTTAATGCTGATTTTCCAAGTCAAAAAAGCTGCTCTGTAGTATATAACTGTGCTGGGGATGAAAAGTCAGTGGAACGTTGGGAGAGTGCCAGGTCTTTCAAGATGAACTTTGGCTTCAAGTGGTGGGCAGGGACTGCAGATGGGGAAGAAAACACATTCAGCTGAACGCTGTCCGTGTTTATATTAATAAAAAGAACGTAATGGCATTTGGTCCAGTCCAGCCACCACTGCAGACGCTGGCAGTGAGCACTGGCTCTGCTGTCATAAGGCTTGTCTGACTTTCTTCCCTCCCAGCCAGTCTCAAATTTTTCCATCAGTGTGATGAGTTAGGTAAAGAAACTTTAAAGTATGTGTAGGGGGTGTCTGCACTCAGAAATTTAAACGACAACCAGCTGGAATTTTACTGGACAGACTACCAAGAACCAACTCTCAGGTGTCCAGGACTCTAGTTCTTTGTCTTCCTGTATTCAAACAGGAGATACTCAGAAGTTGACCTTGTGGACCGTCTCTTGCCAGAAATACCCATGGTGGAATTTTGGGAAGAAAATTATTGGAGGGGATATTAATGTGTAGTTCAGGGGCTCAGAAATGCAAATAGTATTTCTTGAAAAGTAATAAAATTTACTTTAAAGATGATTTTTAGCTTTTGAGAGATGAAAACTTTCTGCTAGAATTTTTTTTTTTTGACATTTATGTGCATATGGCCGTTTTAATTCTGGCTTTTAATTAATTATTTTTTCCACACAATACGTTTGTTTGTTTGTTTGTTTGTTTATTTATATGTGGAGCCCAGGATCAAAGCCAGTACGTCACACTTGTGAAGCAAGCACTCTACCACTGAGCCACAACTCCCGCCGTGGCTTTTAATTTATTTACTTGACATTTTACGGAGCCTACTTTTTATTAATAAAATAATATATTTTCTGGTGAAACTGCAGGTCATGAATTGGGTTAAGGCAATTTCCAAAGCATACTACTAACATAAGAAAAATTTATATATTAAGAAAGTAGACATCCCTTTAAGAGTCAGCCCTAAAGGGGATCTTGAAAATCAGGAAAGATGCGTGA